ATTCCAAACAATTTTGATCCAGGACCATTGCAATATTTCAGTTTGATAATGTCAATCCCCTCGCCCCCTCCCCCAAGGCCCCACCCTCGCTCTCTCTCTTCCTGTCCCCCCTCCACCCTCTCCCCGTTGCCCCCATCCGCTCACCATTCTCCACCCTCCTCCAAGCCCCTCCCTGACCTGCCAAACAGCTGATCAGCAGCTACAGTAGGTGCTACAGTAATACAAACAGCTCATTAATGACTGCTCTTTCCAATTCCCCCTCCAGAGGGTGCCAGGTGCGTACTTTGCCCCAGGGACTGGCTGCCGTACAAGGGGAAATGTTACTGGGTGTCTAAGGAAAATAGAATGTGGAACAGTAGCCATGACGACTGCTTAATGAAGAGCTCTCATTTACTGGTGGCCCGGGACCAGGAGGAGATGGTAAAGTTAATTTTCTTGCAGGATATTGGAGCACTGCTCCGTAATAAACCACTGTGGGAAAATGTAGTTCCAACCCCACCGGTACGCCAGCAGATATTTTGTTTGAAGGTCAGCGGCTCAGAGGGCCAAGATCCCAGGTGCGGTATGTAGGGTTGCCAATTTCGGTAATATTTAAAAACCTTACATTCCTGCAGGAGTGCTGGAAGCTCCCTGCCCCGCCTCTTCCCCCTGAGGCCCCGCCCCTGCCCCCACCTCTTCCTCTAGGGCCCAACCCCTTCCTCTGAGGCCCCACCCCCATCCACACCTCTTCCCCCATATCTCCTGTTGCTCGCTACTTTTCCCCTCCCACCCCCCTGCCCGGGTCAGGAGGGACTGGGCTGCAGAGCCGGCGCTGGGAGCTGCAGCCGCCTAACGATGGTAGGAGGCAGCCCCAGTTGAATAGGGGCTGGCATGGATGATGATCCGGTGCCTCCTTGCCTCCCTGGCTCACAGTAACCAGACTTTGGTTGTCCAGTCGGTAGATCTGACCGGACACTGTAAGATCCCCTTTTCGACCAGATTGTCCAGTCAAAAACCAGGCACCTGGCCACCCTAACAGTATGTTGTGTTGTGTTATGTTGGATTTTTATTGCCCTTGGATTGTCAACACTGAAGCAGACTTCAGAGAATTAACGCACCATTTATTCACCCAGATGCCTGTCTCGTACACTTTACAGGATTACATACAGACTATCACAACTGAGAAAAATTCTCTTTGGATTGGATTAAACTTTAAATCTCATGAGAGGACGTGGATTTGGGTAGATGGCGCCCCCTTCAATGGAGACCTGTGAGTTTCCTAATGTTTTTACTATTTATGTTTGCAAACAATCTTACTGCCTCATTTACGGATTCAGAAGCCAAAAATGTGACACTTCACCTCCTTTGAAATTATTACCATATGGGAAAGCCCAAGCATTCAAAACCCCAAGTCAGGTCCCCAAAATGGCGAGATTTGCTTAAAAATCATGAGCTATGTTTTTTAAAAAAATGCATTTAGGGTCCTTTGTCTTCGTCTTTTGGTTTTCATGGTCATGTTTTCAATAAAAAGGAAGGGTAGAAACTTTGTTTTTTAAAAGGCAAGCTGAGATTCTCCCATAATCACCTGACTCCAAGAGCTGGGACTTAAAGAAAAGCACAAAATAGCATGAGACTTGCAGTAAAACTGCAAGCGTTCATAGTGCTGCAGAAGGGAAGGTCACAACATGTGTCAATGGATAGGTTTGGGGGTTTGTGTGTATTTCAGATCTCGCGATAACCAGAGAGCCAAGTTCAACATAACTAGATGTTCGGGTGAGAGCAAGGCATCTCTTCTAAAACAGTTTGGTTTGAGTCACACTTGCAGATTCTAGGAATTTTAATTAAAACCCTGGTCATCCGGACCTGAAAGATAGCCCTTCCCAGGTGATCAAGGACGGGTGTCTGTGTGCAGCTAACGAGGCCTAGAGTGTACTTGAAAGTTGTAACAGTATCACTGCATCAGTTAGGGGAGGTGAATTTTTACTGATATAATTACACCATTATAAGCTGTACCATGGACACAGTTAGGTGCCTTAAACCAGGACAGCGTATTTCCATACAGGAGTAGCTATGCCAATATACACACTTTTATTCCTGTGGGTACCTCTACACTTAAAACGCTACCTTCAGTGTAGCCACTACCTACGCCGACAGGAGGGGGTTCTCCCGTCAGCATAGTTAATCCACGTCCCCAAGAGATGGCGGGCAGGTGGACAGAAGAATTGTTTTCTCAACCTAGCGCTGTCTACACCAGGAGTTAGGTCAGGATAGCTATGGCTCTCGGGGGTGTGGCTTGTTCACACCCCTGTTAGACCTAGCTCTACTGAGATAAGTCCCTAGTGTAGGCCAGCATCTAGGCTCCTAACTCCCATGGATTTCAGTATTTAAATAGAAGGGATTAGGGCTCTAACTTCCATTGAAATCGGTGATAGTTCGGAGCCTAACTACCTTTGAGGATCTAGGTCTGAGTGACTTGACAAAGGCCATGCAGGGAAATCTGTGGCAGAGGCTAGAACCAAGTGCTGATCTCCTGGAGCCCAGCCCAGTGCATTAACAATAAGGCCAGCCTTCCCTTTGAAATGGGGGAGAAAAGGAAGCGACAGCTTCCTGCCCCATGGCACCGCTACAGACCCAACTCCCTGCGAAGTCTAAACACATGGGCAATGATTGGTTCTTTGATTCCGCAGTGCAGGGAGACCCGGTGGAAGGGACTGCGGGGTGTTAAAAAGAAAGCGGATTGCGTCGGAAACCTGCAGCGCTGAATTAAAATGGATCTGCCAGAAAAACGCACTCCTGATCTAAGCAAGGCCGTTGCAGAACTGACAGAGAAAAAGCCTTCCGTCTGGGTCTGCCCCATGAAGATTATTGTAAAGGCTATGTAGCTTCCTTTGTTCCACTGTTTAATGCCTCTGGGGCCGGATCCCAGCTGATGTAAATTGGCGTGGCCTCGTTGGCAGAGCTGTGGGGCAGTTTACACGAGATGGGGACGCTGCTGACACTGAGGCGGCCCCTGATGGTTGATTCACTGCTCTGGCTGCATGTTCTCATGCACTGCCCTTTCCCCACCCCGCTTCTCTCTCTCACTGAGATTCGTGGTGGGGACTGGATCCTGCCACCAACCGGGGTTGTTTAAGTACGGTGCTCACTAATCGCCTCTGAGCAGGTTTAGGTGGTATTCTGCATACTGTAGTAGGAAGAGGCCCTGAAACATAAGCCCATGCATCAGAGGTCTAGTATGAGGCCTGAGGCCTGGCTAAAGTGGTCAAAACTTTGCTGACATGAAGCAAAATCAGGTTTTAAGCAAGAGGCAGGCCCAGCTCACAGAATTTGGCAAGCACAGAGCACTCACGCAAACACATTCCAGGGTGGTACCAGAACACCTCGATACCAGCACATTGCCTGCAGATAACAGGAACACACAGACAAAGTCAGATAACAACATGATGAACCGAGATGTTTTGATCAAACCAACACCGGGTGGATATGGCAGTGGGTGGCACCCGGATACATCAGAAGTGATACGTAACTTGTTTGTATCTGTGTATAAAGATGTATGTCAGAGACTGTCTTTGTCCAGTCTAGGGGATAGCGGAAAGTCCCACCTCTAGCTGAGCCAGTCCATCGCAACGGGCATACATGTGTTAGGGTACCTGTAATGGCTGAGCCAGGGCATTAGGACTGTGCTTTATTGACAATAAACCTGACCAAGTGCCTTCGCATCTTAATGGATTTTGTGGTCATTGAGCGGTTCGCTCGAGGTCGGCTGTACCAGCTGTCTGCGCAGAGCTGGGATGGCACACAGGGAGAACACACGCATGCCGCCAAACATCTAACCCAACCACACACCTACGATGGTGCTCGGTGTCAGTTGTGGATCCCCTCAACCTCCCCATCGTTTTTGGCACTCACCCTCTTCAGGTGCGTTTAACTCCAGACACCGATCCTGCATCCCTTTAAAAAAATAGATTGTCTGAAAAGTCTCCCGTCACCACCCACGTGTTTCGCCGCGTCAGCTCAGTTCGATGGTCTGTCCAGCCTGGGATCCTCTCTCTGACAGCAGGCACTGCCCCAGAAGAAGGACTAAATCTCCTATAGGAACGGTTATTCCAAACTGTTCCATTCTGGGGGACGTTTCTCTCTAGCCCCAACAGCTTGGGGAAGCTGTGAACTCTGAAGCAGGAGGGTTTGGATCCTGTGTAACTTTTTCTAAGCAGCGAAAGTTCCTTGTTGCAGCATCGTCTGCCCAATCTGGTTTCGGTCTAGCTGCTGCCTCAGTTTCCCCTCTCTCCGGTGGAAATCTCCCGACCTTCCAGCCTGGCTTGGTTGTTGCAGGGACCTGGCCCTCCAGCTAAGTCGTAAAAGAAAAGTCCCCCCCATGTCTCCGAGGCCATGAAACACAAAAGAATCTGCTACCCCAGCCTCAAGCTCTCCTCTGTCTTCTTTCCTCTAATTCATCTGCTCATTCACTGAGCAAAGCTCTGAGTCTTTCCCAGACTCTCCCATAGCCCCTCCTGGGGTTCTTAGAGTCTCTACCAAGCACCAATCTCCAGGACTTACTACCTGGAGTCTCCCATCTACTGCTCCGCAAGCTTCTGTCCTCTCTCCACCCCGCGCCGAGCCTGAGACTTTGCTTATTTTCTCCACCTGGGGATGCAAGCTAAGTGTAATAGGTGGGGCTGGGACCCATCTCCACTTAAAGGGCCAGTCATCCTAAGATGGTCCCATTCTCCAGCTAAATGTCCAGTCCTCTTTTGAATCCTGCTGAGCTCATGGCCTCAATAACATCTTGTGGCCATGAGTTCCACAGGATACTTAAGCAGTGTGTCAATAAAAGATTTTTTTCATCTGTTTTAAATGTGCTGCCTTTCCATTTCATTGGCTGCCCTCTTGATTTGATTTATTTTTTATTTGGAATAGATGCCTACGGATCAGCTATGCATTACAAATGAGACAAAGACAGTTTGCATATTCTGTTAGAAGCATTTATTAGACAACAGCAATTGCGGAGGGGGTCACTCAACAAGAAGACGGAGCTGGTTATTCCCTTGAGCGTCACTGTTTATCCATTCCTTCTACACTGTTCTCTTTTCGTTTCCCATATTGATCAGGTTTGGCACAGATCCAGTTCTTTTCCGTCTCACAGCTTGACGAGCTGACGCCTACATCATTCAGATACGCACAGGCTCCTCCTCCCCTTACTTCGAACCTGCAACCAGAAGCCGCGGAGCTAGAATCAGTCCGTAGCCAAGGCTTATCGGTCACACCCACAGAGAGGCATAAACTTGCAAGGATTTTGTTAAACTGGGGGCAGCCCCCTGCGTGGATGGATGCTGTTATTCCAGTTAAAGAGTGTTTTATTTTGGTTTAGCTTATACCAATTCTGACTGATGCTAAACTGAAAGAAGAATGTCCACACTGCCTTACCTAAACTGGTTTAAAGTCACACTTTGAATTTAACTCTGTATGCCAACCAGCCCAGAGAGAGACAGTGGAATTCCCCACACCAAAGCAGAGTCCTAGAGGAAGTGTCTAACCTGTTCTTAAAAACCTTCAGTGACAGGGATTTCACAACCTTCAGTAACCTGTTCCAGGGCTTAACTACCCTGTCAGGAACAGTCTAGGTGCAGGGGACTGGACTAGATAACCTCTTTTGAGGCCTAATATTGCCTAAGGAGCAGCAGAATGTGGGATACGATTGCGCTAGGTGCTGTACAGCACAGAGTCACTGACGTGTCCTGTCTCAGAGCGCTGACACTCGATGTAGACCTGACAGACACAGGGTGGGGGAAGATGTGGAACACACAGGCAGCGTGAACAATCAGATGGGGGCAAAGGACATGTTAGTGCCACGATTTTTATTTATATTATTTGGTGGGTTAGTTAGGAGGGGCTCAGCTAAGAGGGAAGGGGGGAGGGAGACAGGGCAGAGCAGAAGAAGGGCCGGGGTGGCGTGATGTGCCTGTGAGTACGTCTACACTGCAAATCAAGATGTCACTGTAACACCAGTGGGCATACCTGCACTAACCTTAATCTAGCTAGCACGGGTAACAATCGCAGTGCCCAGGTGGCAGCCTGGACGTCAGTGCGGGCTAGCCATGGGAGCACATAGCCCGGATGCCGGGTGTGCGTGCACTCAGGTTGCTTGCCCGTGCTGCCATACCTATCCCACACCACAATAACACCTTCATCTGGAGCGGAGCCAGACCCTGCGACAGAGCGGGGTAGAGAGAGGGGTTGGAGCAAACTATCAGAGATGAAATCCTGGATGCACTGGGCCAGAGAGGCAAGTAAGGCTGCCAGCATGGTTTTGCTTTTCTACCCTAACCTAAAGACCTAAAATACTGTATTCCTGTTAACTAAAACACGTTGGCTTTCTCTGCACACAGCTGCTGGCTGCATCGCTCCCTCAAGGGGTGAAGTCTTTAAGCAGGGGCTCGTGCTGTTTTGGACCCAGCTAAACGAGCTACAGTGAAAAAAACAGGGTGCTGATGCCAGTTTCAGGAGAGTGGGGCCACGGGGTTCACCCCCGTAACAAACTAAACCCACAGGAGGTAGAAATACCGATTTTTCACTGGTTTTGACCCATGTACGTTTGTCCGGTTGATCTCTGTTGTTGATCTCTCTGCACTCAGCACTTCTAACGCCGGTGACTTAATATGGAGAAATGTTATAGCTGGAAACAAACTCACCGGTTGTCAAATTCGGTGCCGTTGGGCCACTTCCATGACTGGCTGGGCTCCCTTCTGAGGCCGACCCAATGGTAAACGGTGCCTTTGTACCGCAGAAGGAACGTCTTCAAAACAAACAAAGGAAAAGCTTCTGTCTTTTTGTTTATTTATAAGCATTTCCATAGTGCTCGTCCCCTGAGCACTAGCCGCAGTGAGCACCTCTGGGACTCTCCCTTCTCTGTTCAGTTCTAGCTTCTGCTGTATACAAGGCTGAGCAACACCCAGTCTTAATGCTTGCCCAGAATTGAAGCTTTTTTAAAAAAAAAAAAAACCCACCGAGCTTCCCAAGCCCACTCCTCTCCTCCGGCTCATAGGAGGATGGACAGATGCTGCTTTATGTTCTGGGCTGTTGTGCCGTTTAGGTTTGTGCTGCGCCGCTGGACACCCCAGCTACATGAAAACCTAAGACAGACCCCAGAGACAGTTATCGATCTCAGGGCTTTAGCTGAAGTTCTGCTTTACAGGTGTTTGGGGAATTCTTGTACATTGTGGGTGTCGGAGCATGTCTTGTGGCAGATATCGCAACCCCCTGCAGTAACTTTGGGGACCACTCTGTTGCATTATGAATGGTTTACGTTTGATGCCCGCCCATCATGTCTACCAGCCTCGACAGAATCTATAATGTGGGGGAAAAAACAGCAGTGGGAGTGGAGGGCATTTTAAAAAAGAACAACTTTTTAGGCCACCTTCCTCTATTGTCACAAAGCAAAATAGGGTGCAAGCCCCAGTGTCTTTGCTTTAGGGGGATTGTGATGGGCTGGACGAGGCCCAAAGGCCCCCTGCTGGAGACCTCAGGCTCTGCCATGCCCATCCCAAGAAAGGAGCAGCGGAGAGGCCCTACAAGCAGGCTAGAGTGGCTGCAGGGGAAGCAGCCAATCAAGCCCCAGGAGGGCCATATAAAAGGAGCTGCAGAGCAGACCAGCAGTTAGTTGTTGCTGGAAGCTGGAAAAGAAGTGACTGCATCCCTGGCTGGCTGCTAGAACGGAGCCAAAGACAGTTGGCTCACAGAGCCTGGGGGAGCGATGAAGGAGCTCCCAGCTGGCTGCGGACACTGAGTAGGGACTGAGCCGGTAGAGAGCTGTAAGATAGTGTCTCCGGGGAGGAAATCCTGGGGATACAGCCCCATAGCAGGGCTGGACTGGTTTAAAGGACACAGACACACCCAACCAGAGGGGGCGCTCGCAAGAGGTGGGTGCCAACTCTGTTACGGGGATATTGGAGGGAAAGCACGTTGCTCTGTGTAGTGGCTGGGGGTGCTGGAAAACAAGGCTTGTAAAGGGGAACAGCTTGCTCTCTACAATGCCCAAGAGCCGGGCAAAATCAGGCCGTCTCTTCAGCCAGCCTCTCCTCCCGTTCGCCCATCCATACAGAACCGCTGGCTGTGCTGAGCTGGGCGGGGAATGAAACCCCTTCCATCTCCAGGAGATGAGCAGGGCTGGAGCTGTGGTTCCCCACTGAATTCCTGCCATGCGGCGCTCAGAGAAAGAGCCGGGGCAGGCTGCCAATGAGCA